ACTGCTGCAATTGGGTGCCACTGTGTCCCCAGGAACAGTTGAGAGTCACACAGATGATGGATGGAACCTCAGGTCAATTAGAGCCGGTCCTCGAAGGGTGAAGAGTAAAGGAAGGGTGGAAGAGAGACTAATAAAACTCATCAACAAGGTCTTTTAGTTCCAGGTTTGTAGATGGTCCCATGCACTATAGTAGAATTCACAGTAACAGATGTGAGAACTCCCTGTGAGATCTCCTGGGTCTTCTGAGAAAGGGTGCAGAATGAGTGTGAACATGGCAAAAATCAGGTTGATAGCACATAGCGACAAAAATTAAAGGTTTGGGAGTGAACACTTGGTTGTTCCTAAGATATAAACCCAACATTTAAAAAGATCTCTATTTTTCATGTTTCCACTCTTCTGTTTTAATGAACATTACACACATACACATACACATGTATGTACATATATGTAAGTCACACGGAGAGCATGGTGTGTAAAGTTGACTCTCTTGATGACAGCTCTGGGATGCCAGCTGTCCTGTGTATGAAACAGTATTCAAGACGCCACTGAGGGACTTCCCTGGCGATCCAGTGGTTAAGACTCCACACTAACAATGCAGGGGGCGTGGGTTCGATCCCTGGTCAGGGAACTAAGATCTTGCATGCCGCTCAGCGCAGCCAAGATGAAAAAAACAAAGCAACAACAACAAAAAAGAATTAAAAAAAAAAAAAAAAAAACCAATATGCTAAGAACTCTAATTCTAAAGTAGAAAACATGAAATAATAGATAATGTAAGCATAGAGAAGGAAATTCTAAGAAAGACTCAAAAATAAATGCTGGATCAAAAACTCTGCCAACAGAAATGAAGAATGCCTTTGATGGGCTCATCAGCAGAGTGGACCGCTCAGCATGATGCAAGAGTCCTGGCCTCTCCTCGAGTGTAGGGATGCAGGATCTGCTGGGCAGGATTTGCGAGCGCCTCCCAAGAGAGACCAGGGCTGTCCGCGAGGGGACGGGGTCAGGGAGGGGCTCACGCTGGTCTCCCCGAAGGCAGGTCCAGCCCCACTCACCCCCGCCCGGGAGGTTCGTCTTCAGAGAAACACTTTCTGGTGTATAATCAGTTTTCCTGGAGATGGAGAGCTCACCCCCAACCGATGACAGGAGGATGACTTGGTAACTGGAATTCCCAGAGGCATGAGGTGGAGCCCAGCCTGGGAAGAAAGGCCGGCTCCGAACGCCCACTCCCCTGACGCTCCCACATACCTGTCTCGACCACCCTCCAGGCTCCTTGTCACCGTCCCCATCAGCCGCCCACGCGACAGCGGGGACCTGCGCCAGCCCGCCCGGCTGTACCACCTTCCGCGTCCCCCTTCCTCTCCAGCAGCCATCCCCCTACCCCTGAGCCTCGGCCAACCTGTCCCAGAGCTGCGACTCCCCACTTTGTGAACACACCCGCTGCTTCTCCAGCTCCCTCAGATTCCCACAAAAGCAGAAGGTTCTTCGTTCATCTGCAGTGGGCAGAGGCTTACAGTTGTGCCTGAGAGGGAAATCTGGGATGCCCCAGGTTGAATTCCAACGAGGCTAATGGAGGAAACGGAGGTAAAAACGTTAGACCCCGACTGAAATTGCAGACCACGAACGTGGGGTGACACGAGCTGTATTCAAGTCTACTCCCCTCCATGTTCTCCCAGGTCATCAACCCTCGCTTCTCTCTGCTCCTGGCCTTGCTTCCCTCTGCAGCTGGACCTGTAGCTTGACCTCTTCAACGGCCCTCTCATCAACATCAACCACCTTGCTGACCCCGCCCCACTGCTGGACCCCCCCACCCCCCCGCCGGGGCCTGAGTGCACAGGCCGTCTGCATTCCCCGGTATCCAACCAGCTGGGCGCTGCTGGGGGAAAACCGCACGCTAACGCAGTGTGCTAGGGTGTGGGGTCTACAGTTCGTACATCTCTTCCACCCAGGCATCCCAAACTTCTCTCTCAGGCGCACCATTAAGCCTCTGCCCCTGACAGCACACGGCCTCTGCTTAACCAGAGAGGAGGAACCATCAGAATGAACCCCTCAACTCTCCAGACACCCAGCAGCATCACACTCAGCTACACTTGCAGCTCCTCCTCTCTGCGGCCAAGGATGGGTGGTCCTCCCGCTGGGCTTGGATCTATCCCTCCCCTTCCCCACTCCCTTGACCCATCTCTCCCCAACCCCACTCCAGAACCTTCCAAATCCCCGGTTATACTCACTCTTCCCCCTCCCCGTGGACATGTGCTCATGGTCTCTTCCCATCCTTGAGAGCGGTCTCCCTCCCCAAGCCCCAAATACCCTCTTCCTTTTTTATCCACATCCAAGCCGCTCAACGAGCTGTCTCCCCCAGGCTTCAATTCTGCATCCCCCAGTACAATCCTCAGCCCCTGCAGACTGGCTTCCGCCCACCAGGTTGCCCGTGACTTTGTGCGGGAGGTGGGAAGCATCCGGGGTCAGCAGAGCCCTGTCCTGCGTGCCACAGCCCCCAGAGCGGCATGAACCGGTGTGGGAAGGAGGGCTGAGGCCTGGGGATGGTGCAGCAGGCTGCAGGGCATTTCTGGCCCTGGAACACATGTGTGCGCATGTGCACGTGCATATGTGTGTACCTGTGTGCAGCGGCTGGGTACACACACGCACATGTGCACGCGTGTGCATGTGTGTGGTTAGGTGGCTGTGGGCAGCTTCATGGCTACTACCTTGTTCTTCCTGAGACCTGCTGTGATCAGGCAGGAACCAAACCCAATTGATTTACATCCTATGTGGCTGTGACCGCATTTCCCATATCCGAAATTGAGACACGACGTCTGACGATAGGTCGGACATTTGAGTTGGGACCACCCTTGAGAAGCCCTGGGAAAGCTGGCTGCACACACACAGCAGGGGGACAGAAATCACAGCCTAGCACCCTGGCCCGATTCTGAGACAGCAAATTCTGCTGGTGAGATGCCCGCATCTCAAGCCACCCTCTCTTGCAGGGCCTCGCCCAAGGGCTCCCTAGGCTGACTGTAAGCACAGGAGCAGGAAACAGAAGTGGCCCCGAGGCACGCCATGCCCACCACTGGCAGGAGACGGCCTGGAGCAGTCTCTCCGACCCTCTCCTGGACGGCTGCCAGAACAGCTGGCAAAGCGGAGGGCAGCGTAGCCTCAGTCGCCTCCCCAGCTGGGAGCAGCTCAGATGCCCCCACCGGCTGACAGGTCCATCAACTCTCCGACGGTCACACACTGAAGTGGGCCCAGGCTTCCGTGGGTACCAGTGTATGTTGGAAACATGTCCCATCTTTCCCTCTCATTTTCCATGTGCAGGGGAAAGGATACGGTTCCCAGAAGCCTAGGTTTGAACCCTGACTATGTACAACCTGACTCACTGGCGGGCTTACAAGACAGTTTCACAGAGTCTAGGGTTTCTGTTTCTTCCTGATGGGACCTCAAACAATGAGCTCTCTGTGTCCCTGCACTGTTATTTCATCACTGACACTGATCTTCCATGTCAAACAAACGTCACTCCTCGTCTCTCTTCCTCCCTCTGTTCTGAGACCCAGGAACCATCATTTCCTGAGGTCAACAAGCGATGGAATGTTATCTCAAGGGGAATTCTGATCCAGAGAAATCATAGGTCATTGTTTCCTTGTAAAGGGAGGCTGTGTAAGGCGAGCGCAAACTAGGCTGGGGAGATGTGTGCCCTTATTTCCGAGGCTAGCTCTCTTTTCGAGAACAAAGCACTCCCTGCTATTAAAACTTATCCTAAGAAATGAGTGGACATCCAAGCTGGGGTTCTGTCTGTACCAAGGGAAAACTAATACACACTTTTGTTGTTGAAACTTGTGTCTTGATTTGATTAGAAACTCCGGGGTCATTCGAGGTCAAAGTGTGCTCCACCTTCTCTGTCCTTCTCACCCAAGAGGAGCGGGGAGGATGGAAGGCAAAGTTCCCCGGGGAGGAAAGCGTCTCAAGTGTCAAGACTTTCTCTGGGCTTGGAGACGCCAGGAAGCCCAGGAATAGGAACGAGACGCATGTTCCTCTTGGATTTGGGGAAGGGGTGCTCAATCCACACCCACAACACGGGTAAAAGGTACCCAACCAAAAGTAACTGCCATGGGGATGAGCAAACTGGGGGAGGCCATGGGTCCAGGGCTCAATACGGACATCATTCTGCTAAAAACTTTTATAAAATAACCGAGGTCGTCAATCCAAACTGTGGACTGTGCATACCGGAGAAAGGTACCCGTAACCTGGGGTACGTTTTCAAATGCGTCAACCACCAAGAATTAGGAGTGCTTTGATGGGGCAGCGGGGGAGGAATGTCAAGGCAGGCCCTTCCATAAGTAAACTGAGTACAGACGGGCATTTTGCTAAGACTGATGGAATGATCTTTGCCCTTTTCTCCACGTTGCCAAACTTCCTCCCATAACTTAAACAAAATAATAAAGAAAAAAAAAGCCATGGGGCTGGGCCCGCCTTGTCCTTCACATATGTGGTACATCTACCACCACCGGCTCCCACGGGCCAGTATCCTTCTGTGAGGCAGTCTGTTCTCAGGACAGCCCCACAGAGCCAAGTTAGAGATGCTGTCACGTGGCCAGTGAGTAATACAGTTCTTAGGAACTTAAGGTCCAGTTTTATATCCTGCATCCAGAACAGGGCCACCCAGGTTTCTTATATTTCTCCTTATTTTCCACGGTAGAAAAAGAGGCTTTATCTTGATTGTTTTTCTAAACTTGAGCTCTAGGTCTGTCTTTTAAAAAAGAATCCATTGAAACTGGCAGTCAGTATTTAATTCAAAAAGCCAAAAGAGTTAATAATTTGTTCCTTAACTTTTGATCATCCAGGCTGGGGCTGGCAGGTTTGCTAATAGTTACCTGTCCCTGGGCCAAATACTGGCACAGAATGAGGCAATGGCTTTCTTTCAATGACGAAAGACATTTAAACCCCTGTTGGTCCCAATGAGGTGATAAATGGTCTTGGCTTCTTTAAATCTAGGGAACATAAAGTAAACTCACCTTGAAAATTTGCTGGGACCTTCTCCATCTTCATCATCAAAGTCCATTCTGAAAAGCCAAGATCACGAGTGAGCATTCATTATACGTAGGACATTTAACTGGACACATGAGCTGGTGGCACACAGGGGGTTTTATTTGGTCAGATTGCTCTCCAACAATCCCAACACTTGGCAGTGCAAAAATCAGTATCTCTACACAGTCATTGTACAGGTTCGAGACGAGAAAGGGCAGAATGAAAGGTCTACAGTACCAGTGCCATTAATTATATGACTGGGGACTTCTGCGAAAGTGCTGGAATATCAACTCGAACCCTTCTAGAACCCTATACAGGCTGCCAGTGGGTTGCTCAGGCTGTGCTGGAAAAGTCGACACCCCTTATCTCCCACCACCTTTGGGGATACCTGCTCCCCTCCATATCATTTATTCCACAGGGAGACTTCCTTCTTTAACTTATTTTGTGGTATATTAACAGACTGAGAAAAGCCCAAGAGGGTTTCAAAAACAGCAAGTTTTAAGGGCAATGAAGGGATTATGAGGAAAACATATACTACTGGTTGTGCCATGTGAGGACTTGGCTGGTGTGGACGAGTCAACATGGAAAGGGCATTTAAGTCCATTATCCTATAAACTCCAGGTCCAAGTAAATGGGTGTGCGGGAGAAACAGTCGTTTGGGGCCCAAGCTACTCAAAGTGCCTGTCTGCTTACTGAAACTCACCCAATAAATACTCAAGATTCCCACTTCACTGGGCCTCTCCAAATACACATAACACAAAAAGTTTTGATATTTCTTTAACTGATATCCCAAACTCTCCTTCTCAAAAGACAAACAACAAAAAACTGTCCTCTCTAATGTCAGTTAATTTTACTCCTGAAGATGTCAGAGCAGAGCAGGTACTTATTTAAGGTGTACCCAGAATCTTCGGGAACAAAACAGAAATGGTACAGATGTCTTCGCGCTCCTGGACATTTGGGGGAAGTGGGATTCCTTGGGGGAAGAATGTCTCAGAGCCACTGCATCCCCCATCTTGTTCTCAGTGGAACTGAGGGACTAAGTGGGACACAGTTTCCGTGGACCCCAAGCAGAAGGGAGGCCAGCCTGCCTGGCAGCCAACAGCTTGCCACCAGAATGGCGGGTGTGCTCTAGGACCACAGCTGCATATGCCAGGGCTGCTGGCCTCACAGGGAACGTGATCTCCCCCTCAGCTCTCAGGGTGGGGGCCCCAGTGGGTAATGGGTGATGGGGGGAAGGCACAGGGCACCCAGGCCACCAGGAAATGGCCAGTTGCCTAGGAAGAGCCCCCACGGGACAAGCACATGGGAGAGGCCCCTAGTGAGATAAATCGTACTCTCTAGGCTTTGGGGTTACTTGGGGGACCTAGAGACTGTGATGACATAGGGCAAAGGAACATTGTCTTCTTTAAAATGGTATCACATGTTTGTTTTTGTATTGTTTTATGTGCAGTGTGGCCAGAGTTCTAATCTGAGTTGAACTGATGGGATCCCCTGCCAATTTGGAATCCCTGATTTCCAGGCACCAGGGCTTGCATTGGCTGCTGGGAATAAAAGAACAAAAGAAGTTACATAACTGGGAGAGATGACAGCAATGTTAATAAAAATACTTCTGCACAAAGAGGAGGGAAGACGGGGAAGAAAAGTGATAAGAAAGGGAAAGTAGAGTTAAAACACCACTGGAAGAGACAGACATGCACCCCCTACAATGCAGACTGGGCAGCCGGGCACCAGACAGCAGCTGCAGAGTTGCCTATGTTGTGGGAAAACGGTGGCTGAACGCACGACTTTCTAAATGAAGCAGACTCATCAATATACTGCTTGGCTACTAAGCCATCACCTCACCTTTCCTGAAAAATTACGTCTGGGAGACAGCACCAAAAATCCTGCTCCCAGAGCCTCTGGGCCTTTGCAGAGCTACAGAACCACACTGCCACCCAGTGTTCATCATGGGTAAGAGCGACTTTGCTGCAGACATGAAGGTTACTTAACATCCCTGGGCTGGCAAAAACAGACTAGTGTTAAGAAAAAGAACTCGCACTTTCAAAATTCTAATGCATTTATGCAAGCATTTAGCAAAACCTCAAGTGGGTGTGAGATGTACAGTTATCTTTAAAATGCCTTTCAGGTCAAGTTGATATGAGTGTGATAATCTGGCTCCTGCATGATACAAGTCAGCCTTCCCTCCTCAGGCTGCACGATCTTTGGGGTATTTAGGGAGACCAACTGTCCTGGTTTTCCCAGAATGTGGGGATCTCTGGAGGTACTGGGCTTCAGTGCTAAAACTGGGGAAGTCCTGGGCCAACCAGGACGGTTGGTCACCAGAGTTTTCATTAAGGACAGCTTGTCTCTTCACCTGAACCTCATGCAGCAGACAGATGGGGAAGCAAGCCATACGGTAAACGGTCCCTGTCTGGATCAGGTCAGGCCAGTTGAACAGAGAGTGTTAAGAGAGGGGCGGCCAGGCTCTGGAGCCAGAGTTTTCTGAAGTCTACTGAAAACTTAGGAAGCAGGATTTGGCTATGAAAACTTAGGGACCACAAAACTGTGCCTTCCCACCTGTGTAAGCGTGTGATCACACGTGTGCTGCAATCACATCTAGGAATTTTGAAATGCATAATGTGGGCGTGAACTCAGGAGAGAAATCAGGACACAAACGACCGTTCAGATCCTCAGGGTAACTCACTTGACCCCAAAGCGGTCTCACTGCTCATCAGCCACACAGAAAAAAATTCAACTTCTGGGGACAGAAGGATCTTTCGGAGGAGTACTTGCCAAGACGCTGCCTTTGGGTCTTCTGTCACCAATTCAAATGCTCCACTTTAAATATGACTACAATAGCTATGTTTACTTCTGCTATAAAAACTCTGAGTAACTCATCCTGTGTGTCTTTTATGTGTCTCTATTATACTTAAGCATCTGGATAATAAGGGAGAGAAATCAAAACATGCCTTTTAAGTCCTATTGTATCATTTTAAAGAATTCGGTACAATAAGTGGATGATATAAGAGTCCTCAAAAGGTGGGCTGAGAATGCATTTTACCTCACTTTCCTGTTGCTGAGCGTGAATTCTAACCTCGATAAAAAGCCGTGAAAAGCGTTTCTGAGCTTGCAGCTAGTTAAGAGTGAGTGATGCGGATCTGCCTAACAGCGATTGCATAATAATAATAATGCATCATCAAATATGAGTCAGCAAATAATTCACTTATGCTCTTATGAGAGAAGATGAGACGCCGTGCCAACAAGGCTGGTTCTAGAGTGCAGCAAAGGAGCGACCCCAGGCCAGCGTGAAGCTGCTGCTGAAAAAAAAGAGAAGTGACACGGGTGCGAGCCAACACCCTTCCTTCAGGGCCTGGGCCAGCTGACTGGGGCTACAGCAACACTACTGCAGAAATTTGAACCAAGCAAAACATCTGCTTATGTAATACGTCTTTTACTCAACCACATTCCAGCAGCCATGGGGTTAGACTGCAGGGAGACGCTGGCCTACTGGCTGCACACAATTTGGAAATCGTTTCCCTCCAATGACGATATCTTAGAAGCCCAACATTTGACTCCAAGGCAGCGGGAAGGGGCTGGTACACCCAGTCCCCTCCAGCCTCACCCTCCCTCCCCACCAAGAGCTGACTCTGGGGATGGGCACAGCCTGTCTAATGACAGTCACTTCGCCTGTCACTTGAAAAGCACCAAGTGTGCCCTGTGGATGCCCCCCCATGCCGTCCCACCGCCTCACTGGGATCAGGGCGTTCTCTACAAAAACGCAATCCAGGTGACTTGCTTCTGGTCACTTCTGCCACACATGTGGAATCACTTCTCAAAGAATCTGAAACTTCTGAACCTTCACCTTTGTCCCAACTGCTAGCAGAGCACGCTACTTGCTAAGATGCTTACTGGGGGAGCCGTCAGGAGACAGGGAAAG